ACATTATTCCAACATATCCTTGACAGTTTAAGTTATACGCTATATACATAGATCATTTAGACAACAGCAGATGACACTTCATCTTTGTCACTGAAAAGTTATTCATTAAATAAAAACGATGTGAGAAATTACCTTGAAGAGGCCCTTCATGCTGCCCATCTTTTTCACCATATCAGCAAATTTTTTATATTGCGTCAGTAATTCTTTTACTTCGCTTGTTGCTGTTCCACTACCGCGTGCTACACGTTGAACTCGACCAGGTTCTTTTGAGAATAAGTCATTTGCCTTTGGATGGTCCAGTTCTGAAAGGAAATCTTGTAAGACAAGGATAAAAATAAATTTCACTACCGATAATCAACGATTAATGAGAGCAAACTTAGCGAACTCATCCTTTCTGCAACGTATGGCGTACATAACTCTTTACTTCCCTAATCAAATTTGATTTAATTCGAACTTAAAGCTACCTGCATCAGACATGCTGTCCATAATAGTCATCAGTTTCTTGAGCCTAGATTGAGATTCTTGTTCGTTACCTTTAGACATAAAATCTGGTCCAAATCCGGGAATCATGCTCTGAAAATTGATGAAAAAATTAATAAAAAACATAAGAAACCTGTTCGCTTCGCACTTTCGCGAAATACAATTCATAACTAGAAAAACCTCAAACTTTATTAAACACAAATACAAACCATGATTTGGTTAAATGGACCCATTTTCATGATATTTTGAAATTGTTCATACATATCACGTAATGTAAACATGCCTAAAATACATCGTGCAAAAATTTTTCTTCACTCTTACTTCCAAAATATTATTAATAAACTCACGTGCAAGAATGCAATATTTTAATGTTATAGATCTAAACAGAAACTCCAATGGGATTCATCAAACTCAAATATTAAGGCTTGAAAATGCTGATAAATAATAAGATCGTATGAGCTTTCATTTATTGCATTAGGAGATGAGATCATAATTTAGTTTAACTCATGCCATCAGTGTCAATTCTACAAACTTCAACTGCCATATTCACAATCTACGCAAATGCATCATAATATCATAAATTGAGCCAAAAAGTCAAATTTGAAAAGGAAACATTAGATATACCGTGCTTCAACCTTTTGATGAGCTCTTCATTATCTTCGATACCAATTTCATTGACTTTTTTCACAAGACCTTCGATGTCGCCCATGCCTAGTAGTTTTTGTACGAACGGTTTCACTTCGAATAATTCAAAATCATCAATATGTTCGCCAGTACCAATGAATATCACAGGTGAATGCGTTGCAGCCACACTGTAATAAAAAGGTGCCTTTAATCTTTTGAAGTGTCTTGAAAAAAAAAGAAAAAATTCAGATTTCATATAAACTCACGCTGAAAGAGCTCCACCACCCTTGGCATGACTGTCTAATTTGGTAATAATCACTGAACCAACATCGACAGTTTCACTGAAAGCACGAGCCTGTGCTTCACAAGCTTGTCCAATTGAAGCGTCCATAACGAAAACTATATTGCTTGGATTCTGGAAAAATGTCACAATGCAAATACCACCTAAGTTCAACTATAATTAGAGGCAAAACTTATTACCAATCTAGAACTTTTCGATAGATATAGTCCGGAAAGAAAATTCTTTCATCTAGAAATTCCTTTCCGGGATATATCTACCGAAAAAGTTACGCTTCGGAAATAAAAACACAAAATACCACCGGATCTCATATCTAATTCCGTATGTTATTAACCCTTGCGCTTTTCTGATTATTACATACACCTACCATTTTTTTTACAAATCATGCACCTGATCAAACGTGATAAACATTTAATTTTGACGCGGCTAAATTAAACCTTAACTACGATATTTAAAAACTGAGAAATTACCACAGCATTCGACACTTGTAACATTTCTTCGAAAAGTGAAGCTTCTTGCTTGTGCCGACCAGAAGTATCTACAATAATAATCTCGAATCCATCCTCTTTGAATTTATCGACACCATTTGCAGCTATAGTAACTGGATCCATTTCGGTATAACTAAAAGACTGGACTGCGTGAGTATAAATTTAACAAAAAAGTAAGTTATGTATTGCGAACTGCATTAAGCAACACATTTTATGCATGAAGTTTCAACTACGCTGAGAACTGTATGAGCCTTGGTCTGAGAGACTAAAAGTCTCATTTATGCACGACAATTTAAGTGTGAAATGTAAAAATTGTAGACCAATGAACAACATAAAAAGATTAACCTTCCATAAAATGGTATCCTTGCTTTCGTAGCATTTTGTTTCAACTGATCAAATGCACCAGCACGGAATGTATCAGCACAAATTAAGCATGTTTTCCAACCTTTTTTCTGATAGTAGTACGCCAACTACAAATAAACTTTTTAGAACAATACGAACTAGAAATAAAAGCAAATTGTACTTCAAAAATTATCGAGATCTTAAGACACAAATGTACCTTTTTTCTTTCATGAAATAAAAATAAACCTTGGTACAGGTCGTCGTCTTACCAGATCCTTGCAGACCAACAAACATGAAAATATTAGGCTTCCCTTTTATAGGTTGGAAAGGTTTCACTCCTGGATCAACTAATTTCATTAATTCTGTGAAAACACAACGCTGAATAAGTCGCCTCTTGTTTACACCACCTGCCATTTCATCAAAATCCAACGTCTTTCTAAAAAAAGAAAAAATATTGACAAATGATAACAACTAGTCTTTGAAATCTTTTGAAAGGCTAGTAAAATGTTTCTTATTTACAACAAACATAAATTTTATGTGGATTTTGTAATTTATAGTCTTGATAGAGCACATTTTTTATCTAGAAAGCGAGAAGTTTCGAACTGCACGGTATTGACTCTATCAGTTAGCGCCGTTTCTTAAAAATAGTACCATTTAACAATCTGAACTCTTCAGGACCGATCTCCTTGAGTCTACATTTTTATGATGTTAAAAATTGTTGTTGCTACATACTTGACATTATCTTTCAACTGTTTGACGAGTCGTACATTAACATCAGCTTCCAGCAATGCTGCACAGACTTCTTTGAGCATCGCATTGAGCTCATCTTCATTGATGATCGTTGCCTGGCCAAGTTTACTAATTGCATTACGAATTTTCCGACCTAAGTCAGCTAATACCATTTTTGTTTTTAAGTGAAATGCAACACCTGTAACAAATGACTTTTACCGAATTCATTTATCGCCTTCTCAACAGTTCAATGTTGATTTCGACCAATGAACAGAAAGAAAAAGAAAGAAAGCAGAAAGAAGGAATAGAAGAAAGAGGAAGAGAGCGAACTAAAGCAATGTAAAATCTGGATTTCAAGACATTAAAAGAAATTTAAGTATGTTCAGTCTAATCTATGCATTACACGTCTTTTCAATTTGACTTGGACATTACGTTCAACGTTAGTGTTGACGTAAGCAACACAAACCCACCAAACTACCAACCATACTCACTGACGATCCATCTCATAAACACGGCCCATAACCGTTAAATTGACTTCGCCTATGACGTGGGAAAAGCGTTGCAGATTTCCTACAGTCTGTTCCTCTCTTTGTACGTAGTACTGACGTGTACTTTTAGTTATCCCACGTATCCTGTTTAGAATCACACTTTTCCCTTAGATATAGCTTAAAATTTATAGATGTCGTGCTTGAGATCTTCGCGTTCAAATTTTCAGTAATTCCGGAGATATGATTGGTATGGATGACATTTGGATGTTAAATTAATTTAAAAAAATTATCGCAATTCAGCTCCTGTCTTTTCCGTTCTCTCTTTTCTTTGACATATGAATGATCACTAAGACGCTAAATTAAATTAAAAAAGAATTATCGAAATTCATCATTACTTATTATTGCATTATTCTGAGCTTTATTAAATCGATAAGGTAACGAATAAATCGATGAATTATCGAAGGGGAAGAAAAAAAAAAGGTTAAATTCAGTTGGAAATATTTATCTGCCTTAATTTACCGTTCTAAATTTGATGCAATGATATACGTTTATTACAAGCAATTCATCGATCAATAAATTGATCAGTCACTGATTAAATCAATCGTAAGACAATTTTAATTGGTAGCGAAGCATGTAATAAATGGAAAATTAACATGCAGGAGGAAAACATTAAAAAAATTTATTGAATTCATAAAAATTGAAAAGATGGAAAGAGTGTTCAATCAAGGATTATTTAATCCTTTCGTTGGGTACTTAAAAAGATTCCCTGAGATCGGGAGATCGAGAATGAACGTAATACTAAAGAGGCAAATATTAGTTAAAAATGAAATCATAAAATAAGAAATCGATTAATTTCATATCATCTTCCTCTTCTCTTACAAGAAAGAAAACAGGCTAAGGTAACATAATTTATATAAGGTCTGGCCATCGTATTAAATATTCTGTTTTTTATTGTACCTATTAAAACGAAAGAATTCTTACAGCCTTAATGATACTTCCATCACGGAATACAATTGTAAATGAGACTTATTAGCTTTTTCTTCCTCATCTAATTTGATGATAATTTCATAATTAAATTATTATCCAAAGAAAAGTTTCATTTTCCATTTCGACAAAATTTGTTGAAAAATAATATAATTAAGTTTATGAAATTCTTTTTTTTCTGAAGCAACATTTTCGATTTCTTTTTTTTTTTGTCAGAAATGAGTTTTTCATAGGAAATGAATAAATGAAAAGAAAAACAAATACAAATGATGGAAACAGTATGATATATGATATGAGTTAAGTTGCAGATTCATTTGGGAAACATTGAAAACGATGTGATGTAATCGGTGGTGTTAAACTACCACGGCCACTATCTTTACCATTACTTCGAATGCTTGATCTTCGATTCTGTAGATGTTTTGATAATACTACAGAAGTTTTTTTCTCGATTGGTAAATTTTGCTGAAAATTAAAATTTCATAAATAATTCTTGAAATAATTTGTAATTTCAAGGAAAGAAGAATTTGCTTTATTTCGTTTTAAATTTTTATTAAAATTTTGAACTTTTTATGAGCTATTTGATAATTTTAATTATGTTAGCTTCAAATAACATTAATTATAATTACTTGTAAAAAATTTGATGATGTATGCGATAGCGAATCTTGTATGATATTATTTTCTAATGTAACGTGTTCTGAAATATCAGTCATCTGTGGTACTGCTGAAGTTCGCAATTTTGCAGCAAAGATTAGCGGTCGTTTTTCAAATTTCATACTTGAATGTATTGATTCTTCCTTCTGGAATACTGACGATGGTAGCGATCTAAATTCTAGGCGTATTTTAAAAGACAAGAGCTGCGTGAGATACGTTGTTTACAGGTTGATTTACCCCTTATATTCAATTTCGTGATCTTTTTCTGTGAATTTCAGAATCCATACTGTAATTGAAAAAATAGATAATGCACATTGCAGAAATGTGTGAAATCTCGGATTCATTTCTATTCTCAACCTATTTTGTTTTAGCTATTTTATTTATTACCAAATAAATGAATGATAAGTGCAGCTAAGCGGAAACATGCCTATATACATTGTAATTCTTGAAGGCCTTTCGTAAATCCAACAATGAGCCTTGTCGTCGTACATCTTCCTGAAAAATTTTTAGGACTATAATCTATCTCTCTTTATCATCCAGGCTACTTTTAGAAGATTCCATAATCCGACATACTTTTTTAGTTCATTACTTCTTAATTCCTTCAATATTTGCATTATGTAATTATCTCTCTCCATCTATTTAGGTTAAAGATTATTTCATCAAAATAATTCCGAAAAATTTAAGTAAAAGATTTGGCATTTGACACTTATCAAATTTCAAGTTTAGTCTATTAAAAAAAAAGTTTACCTCAGTTATTAATTTCGATTCGCTCGCTTTTCTCATCGTTCTCAAATGTGAATGATAATGATGGAATATGCAAAAGAACTTTTTGATAGCTTTCGTATCAGCTCATTCAAATTTTTGAATGATGTCTAATTTTATAAGCAAAAATTTTCGAGAATCAAATCATATTTTCATGAATTTTCGAGATTTAAACCATACTATTCATTAAATCTTATTTATAAATGACAAAACATAAAAATAGATAAATTGATAGATGAGTAAGAAAAAAAATTTTTTTTGCAATTAAACTTACTGCAATTTATTAGAGGAATTTGACGTTTTCTTATTTAGGAATGATGTCAAACATGGTCGCATATGAGTGATTTTTGTAAGAAAAACATAAAGAAATGGATTTGTAAATGCATTAATTGGATAAAATATTACTAAAAATATTTTTGCCACACTGATACTTATGAGTGGATGTCCTAACGCTGCTGTAAAACCTGTAAGAAAAAAAAATTTTGCAAAATCCGTAAAAGGAAAATTTGTAAAAAAAGTAGCAACAATAAGAAGAAAAATATCACAGAATAAATTACTTGATCATTTCATCTTTCAATTACTTCAAAATCAATAATTATCGTCACTCATCAATATTAAAATATCCAAATTAAGAATATTTAATTTATTTTTTTTAAAAAAAAAAACAATTGCCAAGACTATATTCTACGAAAATTTCAATTAAAAAAGAAAGAAAGGTCAAACGGATGAATTAAATTATTAAAAGTTACCGAAGAAAAGGGTTGGAAACCAGCAAAGCATTTCTGTACCAATTAATGTTGCCATTTTTAAAATGATTGCTTTATCTTCTGATCGTTTCGGTTGCTCGGGATCACAAAGCATTCTACCAATAAAACTATAGCTAATAGCCATACCCAAAAATGCAAGCAAATTGAACAACAAACTGGCAATTACATACATCTGAAATTACAATTTAAATTATCTTATAACTAAATCAATGTTAACAATTATCAATTTAATTCAGTTAATTTGTACAATAATTTTTTTTCAGTAATTTATTCGTGTGATAATTTCAGTTAATACAGTTATCAACAGTTAATTGGTACAATAATCTTCAAACTTAATTTCAAATAATTTGTAACATTTAAAAATTCAAACTCGCATCCTAATATTTCTACAAAATTTTATGGTTAAAAAATTTTTTGGATTTAATTTAAATTTTTCAAAAACTTAAAATTTAATTAATAAAGAAAATTTCATTAAAACGAATAAATACCCGATCAAAATTATCCTCAATTGAAAGAGGTAGACATACACTGGTACTTGTATACGTGGATACACCTATAATTGGTAATACTGCCATCGTAAATGCAATAATGTATGCTACGATCATCATCATTACAGCAGTTCTCATCCGTAAACGTTTTCCGTAAAAGGCATTCCTGATAGAAAATAATTCAAATATTTTCTTTTATTTTGAAAATGACATAATTTTTACTGATATTTTTTTTTAATAATGATTTTTAGTTTATCATCAAATATATTTGCTTTTTCATATATTCTTTTTTTCAATCAGATTATTTATTATTTTGCATAGTTTACCTGATATTATAGCACATATCAAATGCAATCAGAAACATTGACATAATTGAAATTTCGGAACCAAAAACAGAAATAAAACCGGCTATATTACAACCAATACCGGTTTGCCATGCTACCGCATAGTTATAATACTCATTTGAAGTCTTATAATCAACTGTTGCCAGTATACCAAGATAAACACCTAAAAATATGTGCTACCACAAATATTATCATTACATGTATCATTACTAAATTATCATTATATGTATCATTATATTATCATTACATGTATCATTACATATCATTATTAAATTTAACGTTCAAAGAGCATGTTCATTTGACTGATATATTGCTTTTATTGTAATAACTTTCTTAAATTTGAGATCATATAAGTTATAGATGTTATACTTTATCAATTACTTTCCTATCATTTTTATTTCAATTTTTTCCGCTTTTTAGCTTTCTTTTTTATTGTTATTAGTAAATATTTTGCTAATTATAATTTTTTTTGGATAAATTTTAAATCCTAAGAATTTAATCAATGAAAATTTTATGGAATAATTATAGCCGATATTAATTCAATTTCAATCATTTATAGCATTTGCAAAAAAAAGAAAAAAACAAATTTACACAAAATATGTCGGATTTTTCAGAGCTTTTAATCTGAAATACAATATCTAAACCAGTCTAAAATTATGGGAACACTCAGTCTTTTATCTTTTAACCAACATTTTTCTTCTTTGACCCTTCAAATTGATTAATCGTTTAGACTAACCCGTTAGTAAATCTGCCGTTGATAAATTAGCCATGAAGAAATAATGTACTTGCATTCTTTTTTGTCTAATTTGACACAACACAATCCATACTCCAACATTACCAACAATAGCCGAAATCCATACAAACCATATTGCCCAACGTAAAAAGTCATATCTATAAGTAATCAGTCTAAATGTAATAATTAGCTTAAATGTGGTGCTAAAAAAAAAATCTCGCTTATCAAATTATATCATGCTTATTTCTGATATTTAAATGATGAATGTGATGTAAGATATTGATTAATTGCTACAAATGTTAAAGAATTATATTCAACAATTAAATAATAAAATTTTTAATTGTAACAGAATGTTTCAGAGAATTTAATTAATGAAAATTTAATGAAATAATTATAGCCGGTATTATAATTCAATCTACCCAATAACATCTTCGCATGGATTCAGTGCATTTGGCATCGGTGTACATTGAATGGAAGCAAAGAAATCAGTGACAGCGTTCGATGTACAATTAAATGTTGTCAGAAGGCCAACATCGGCATCTTCAAATTCAGGCTCCAATAATGTATCCCAATCATCATCAATCTATAATTAATTAACAAAATTAAACATATTAAAAACTAGCATTATTAATGAAAAAAATATATCAAAAAAAAATTTATTGGATTTTCTTTCAAAAAAATCGATATTTGCTATCTTTAAGCGTTATTTTCTTATTTTTGCAAGAATAATAAATAAACATACGTGCATACCTCAATTGTAATATTACCAGCATTAACAGAATCAAACCATTGCAACAAATCAGAAAAATCCAGCGGATTTTCTCGTGATTCTTGCGGTAGTAATATTGAACGTTCATTTCGAGTAGATTGTCGTCGTAGACGACGATTTAATTTTGATGTTGATTTAGCGGAGCATTCACGATTTCGAATTTCTTCAAGATTTTTCGTATACATTTCACCAGCTGTACTGATTTCTTTTGAGGCATACTACAAATAATAAAATCATTAAATGAAATGATTTTCCGCATTCCGGTAAGGAATAGATGAGTATCTGTGCTATTTCCTTAACTCTTTTCAATTTTATAATTCCATCAAAGAATTTTTTTTTTTTTGGTGCTGCCATAAACAAAGCATATGCAATTTCTAGTTTTAAAAATATGCTCTCTTTACTTTTTTGTTAGAAATGAATTTCATTTAATTTTCGAAATATGGTATAATATTTCAAGCATTTTTAATGGTTGAAAAACTTGCTTTAAATAAGCAGCAATGATATGGATAAGTGAATTCAACTTTCTTCAATGACGTAAATGCCAAAATTGGTGGTAGTTTTTTGAGCTCTTCCGTATCCGCTAATTTTAGGCCTTCTAAACGAGATAGGCCGGTTGTTGGAAGTTCTGTGATACCGGTACGTGAAAGATCACTGAAATATAAAAGAATTTCAATTGGAATATAAAATTAATTCATATCACCCATCAAAGAGGGGTGTAAAAAAATGCATTATTTTATCAGTAAAGCAGTATTTCAGATAGAAATAAAGAGCGGAAATTGTAATCATTTAAAAATATTATCGATGAATTTTCCAAATACTTACAGATGTTTGATGAATGATATACCGGCAAAAGTGTCGATTGAAAGACGCTTAAGTTCTATATTATCATTCAATTCTCTACAAAAAAAAAAAAAAAAAAAACAACAGATCATGAATTATTAATTGTGTGAAACAATTTACCGATAAAGAATGATTTGTTATTTTTTAAAAAAATATGGAATAATTTTGTTTAAAATATCAAATAATGAAATATTTTGCTATATTCAATTTTAACATAATAAAACATACAGCACTGAAACTCGACAATTAGCAAATATATGACTTCCAATTTCACGCAAATCATTATTGCTAAGACAAATTTTATTAGCATGAATCGCACGTAGTTGACCATCACCGAGATATTCGATATGATTGTAAGAGAAATCGATCACTTCCATCGCTAATCGATGTCGTGAGGTCATCTCTAACGTTGGCATACGTACCAAGCCATTATTACTCATCATCCGGAAAACAATAATTAACAATTTATTATCATTCTTGCATTTCCCATAGATTGGTGAAAAAAAAATTAAATAACTTATTAAACAAAAATGTTAATAGTTATTACGATTGTTTTTTTTTTCGCTTTGCAAAATAATCAAAAAATATTTTTGCATTTTAAAGATAAATATTTACAATGTTAAAATCCTTGTGTTATTAATCAGTAAAACACCGGTAACTTCTTTTAAATTTTTACAGCCACTGACAGATCTGAAAAAAAAAAATGAGAAGAAAATAAATTAACGATTTGCGTTTTTCATCTGTAGATGGCGACATTTGAATCTTTTCAGTAATTTAAGAAGAAATAGACTGAAACCTGAACTAACAGTTTGCCAAGATTATATAGATTGCAAAATGCATCAGCGTTAATTGATTGTAATGCATCGGAATCTTCGATTACACTGCAAACAATTTTGTATATTAATTTAACTGAATTTCAAAATAACCTTTGACATATACAATATTAAAATATCTGAAGACACATTAATACTTTGATGAATTTAAAAAGAAAAAATTCTTTTTTTTTCCAAATAATGTATATTCGAAATAATGATCAGATGGAATAAAAATAAATAAAGAAAGAAATAAAAGAACAAACATTTCTTCGAGATGTTGATATCTCTTGAAAGCATTCTCACCAATATGATTGATCCCTACGTTGTAAAGTAATCTGAAGAAACAAATTTAAATTTGAGAGTTCAAATTTTTCAAATTATGCATATTTATGACAAAATTTTCTATCATTACTTGAAAATTTGCACTTCTTTACAAATTCCGAGAAAAAATAAAAACAAGAAAAAAAACGAAGCGAAATGTTTTTCATGCATTGTTAAATTGTTTCATTTCCGCGTTTTTTTTTTCTTCCTCCTCTTTTCTGTTGACATGAATGCAAATTAAGTAATGGATAGTTTTGAAATTGTTTCACAAATGATGGAACTTAATTAAATTCTCAACTTCCTTTTGTTCCATCTTAACTTTTATTGGATTTTAAGAAAAAAAATGAAAGAAATGGAGTGAAAACAAACGAAGAAAAAAAGGAACAAATTTAAAATTCAAAACACTAACAGACGGCGAACATTATTTGTTAAATTTTCCGGTATTTCGGTAACCGATTGTCCAACACAGCAACATTTCGGTTCGCTTATAAATGTTGTACAGCTACATCCACGTTCCACACGACAAACTTTCTCATACCTTTTTTATAATAAATTACGAACACTTTTTTTTTAATTTCATTCATAAATTTAAAATTTTTTGTTTCTTTAAAAATATAATGATAAAATAAATATTTGGTATAAAAAAATAACATTTATTCATAAAATGAATTTTAAAGTAATATATTTTTTTAAATGCATATTTCAGTGTATAAATTGTTAGTGTTATAACTTCTTTGCATAATAATGTTATGAGACAAATTATATGAAATGACAATAATCATATATTATTTCTTAACAGAAAATAATCGATTAAAATATTATATTTAAGAATCCCTTAAAAAAAAAGGATGACAACAATCAATGAATTAATTATCATTAAAACATTCTACACTTACTTAAACGAATTACTTTCATTATTATTTTAATTTGCAAAAAGAAAAAAAAAAACATTAAGTGAAAATTTTGCAAAATACCATTTCAAATCCTGAGCAATTGTACGATCAGAAAGAATGAAAATGATAAGGACTGAAAGAAAGTGATACATAATCGTTCCATCTCATATGATATCGAACACTACACTGAGCTGTATAGCAGTGATAATATACATTGGATGTGTTATCAGTTTCATGCCTTAAATTGTGAAAATGTTTTTGGTATGAAAGGAATAGGATAGGAAGAGAGATGAAGAAGAATGAAACGAACCAATATAGCGTTGTAATTCTCTCTTTTTCTTCTTTTTTTTTCAACTAATAAATTTTATTGTAAACAGTTAAATGATGACAAAATCTATGGAATTACTTTTAATTATATTAAATTTCACCTATATATTATGGTAATTTATTGATTGAAAGTAATCAGGTCAAAACGCATTATATACTAAATATATGTGTATATTTATTATATATGCAAAACTTCATGAAAATGAAAATGTTGTTGATTAATAATTTGTCATGGTGTAAAAATAAATTCAATTATTTTTAAATTTCTTTCTTATGTTAATATTGAGAAAAAAAAATGAAGGAAGGAAATTTATTACAGTATTAGTTAAAAAGGAAGAATTGTTTAAACAAATCTAAAATGCTTTAAAATTTGAAGAAAAAAATTAAATATTATAGAAGCAGAAAAAAAATAAAGCACGCTATTAACTTTTTATCAGACAAAAAAAAAACAATTATAGCAGTTGGTATTTTTAGCTACTCATTTAATTTTACATCAATTTATTTTTTTTTAACAAAAATGTAAATTTGAATGTGATTGCTAAATATTTCAAACATAATTTTGAAAAAAAAAACCGGAAACAGAAAGAGGGAAATGGATGGAGGAGATATTTTGTTTGAATTAAAACAGGATGCTTAAATCCTCTTTTAATCATTAATTCCAAACAGCATCGATATTATATTCCATCGAAATTGTCATCAGAAAAGAATTTAAAAAAAAAAAAACTTTCATTCTAGAATAATTAAATATATGAAATTTTCCATAACTTTTTTCTTGTTGTTAAAAATATCGTTGTAGTGATATTGCTTTAAAAAGAAAATATTTCTCCCTCTCTCTCTCGCTCTCTCTCTCTCTCTCTCTCTGTTGATGCTTTAAAAAAAAAGACACACCTTTCTTTTTTATTTTTTGCTTATTATTTGTTAATATTACGTAATTTTCCTAAAAATAATCGTTTTGAAAGAAAAATGGTTGATGAAAAAAGAGGAAAGAAAATGAAATGTTTACAATAATACTTCCCAATAAGTATTATGAATTAAATAAGTCATTCATGTAATTAAGTTAGAGAAATCAAGCAACCAATCTATTCATTTAAACATTGAAAAAAAATTTTTTTTTTTTTTAAATATGGACAGACAACAATTGTTTAGTAATACGACATATTCATTCGGGTACAATTCAGAAAAAGAGAGAGAGAGAGAGAGAGAGAAACAGAAGGAGGGAAGAGAGCGAAAAGGAGAGGGAAGGGGAGACAGAGGGAGGGTGACAGAGGGAGGGAGAGATAGGGAGGGACAGAGAAGGGAAAAGGGAGAGAGGGGGAGAGAAGGAGAGAGAGAGAAACTGGATGATGTAATATAATTGACATGACACCTCTCCTCTCAATTCATGATGATGCATTAAACTGAGCAAATTAGAACAGATCATTTTCCTTACATTTCTGTCATGTTTTTCTTCATTCATTAATGTTATAAAAGTCAATAATGAGGAAAATGAAAAAATTTAAGAAAAATCAATAGGTACTATTTTTAGTATCACAGTTAAAATTGAATGTTTATGCCATTCGACAACGAATTAATAATTAACAGAAGGTTGAGAATTTCAGCAAATTTCAATTAAAATTTGGAATGGCGAAATTTATTTTTCATAATGTATTAACTGGAAAATTACAATGATAACAGCAAAAATATAATAATGACAAATAACAATTACAACAATAATAATGTAATAATGAAAAATAACAATTACAGCATTAGAAATATAATAATGAAAAACAACAATTACAACACAAAAATGTGATGATGAAAAATAACTAAAATTATTAAATTATTACAAAAACATAACGCTGAAATAAATGTGCAATATAAATTTCCTGTGGAGTGATAGAAAAAAAAAATTTGTATGAATTCTGTCACAACCTCATTTTACTACTTTTTACTTTTACTTGATCAAGTAGTAAGTACATCAGTAATAACATCATCCATAACAACATTATCAACAACAATAATAATAACAGCAACAACAACATCAACAGCAACAATAATAGTGACAATGACAGTAGCAATAGGAGTATTTAAATATCTAGTAATTACAAGTTAATTAACTTAATAAAAAACAAATAAACAAGATAACATTGACAGCAACAGTAACAATAGGAATAAAATTACTTGAGTGTTTGGTAATTGAAGTTAATTCTACAGATAGACAAAGATATATTGTAATATTGTTGAAGAAGAAATCAATCGATCGATAATTGAAATGTGCACATTAATCATGATTGCATTCATAGAGTATTTAGATGTCTGGAAAATTCAGTCGGCTGCTTATTTGCAAAGTTTTTTGCATTTTGTTGAGTATTGTTTGTGCAACAAACATATACGACACAATATGGTACGATGTAACACAACAAGTTTTGTGTTGTGATATTGATGAAATTTATCAGTAATGATGAATTAATATCTTCAGTTAATAACAATGAAAAATAGAAAGTTACTAATTAGCAAGAATGAACAAAAACGATTTGCATATCCAGTTGTTATGTGATGATGAAATCAGCAAATGATAGTTTTGTCATGACATTTTGCTAATTTCACTCCTTCATTTGCCATTCATTGTTGCTCATCTTCTCTGTCATTCATTGCTTTCTAGCAATGTCAAAAGAAGAATGAGAAGGAAAAAGAAAAGTAAGAAAGCAATGAAAGCTCATTGTTTAATATGTTTATACAATTCTCAACTTTGGCATTTTATTACTCATTTTGCTAACCCGAAACTAACTATTATTTGTATAAAAATTTTCTAAAAATTAACGAATGGAAAAATTAACAATACAAATTTTTATTTTTCCACTTTCAATTTGCTTTCTTCTTCTTTTTTTGTTTTAGTTAGTTCAACGTTTACATGTCAAAAGGGTAATATTAATTAAATGCGCATACATTTACAAAATACTAATTTAATATTGCTCAATTAAATTAATAATTAGCTGGAGATTTTTTTTAGCTAAAACACATTTATGGTTTAATTGGAACAAAAGAATATTTCTCTTCAGTTAACTATTGTTTTGAAAAAATTAAAAACAATTTTTAAAATTCAGG